ATGGAGGGAAGCCAGGATTGGGGTGATGTGATGTCGTCTGTTAAAACCAGTAAGAAGCCTAGCTGCTGCGTTCTGAACCAGTTGGAGGCGGGAGAGTGATTTATGGTTTATGCCAGAGAGGAGTGAGTTACAGTAATCGAGTCTGGAGAAGATGAATGCGTGGATTATTTTTTCTAAGTCAGAATGTGGGAGCATGGGTTTGATTTTGGAGATTGTTCTTAACTGATGGAAGCAGGACTGGACAACTTTATTGATATGAGGCTGGAAGTTGAGGTCTGAATCGAATATTACTCCTAAGTTTCTGGCTGCGGATTTGACGTTAACGGACAGGGGACCAAGGCTATTTTCAATTGGACTGGTGGAGGTTGGCGGAGTGAACAGTATGATTTCGGATTTGGAGGTATTGAGTTGAAGAAAGTTTTGGGCCATCCAACAGTTGATATCCTTGAGACAATCTAACACAGCAGCTAGGCTTCTCGGGTCATCCGGTCTCAGCGGGAGGTATATCTGTGTGTCGTCCACATAGCAATGGAAAGACACGTTGTGGCGGCGGATGATCTGACCGAGCGGAAGCATATAAATAGAAAATAAAATTGGACCAAAAATTGAGCCTTGCGGTACACCACAGGTAATCTGAGATTTCGAGGATGTGTAATTACCTATGGTGACCGCAAAAGTTCTATCTAAAAGGTAGGAATAAAACCAGCTAAGTGCAGTGTCCTTGATGCCAACCCAGGTTTCCATACGGTCAATTAAAATGGCATGATCAACCGTGTCGAAGGCTGCACTTAGGTCTAAAAGGATTAAAATTGCACTCTCTCTCCCCTGTCCGCAGCTAAAAGAAGATCATTGGTTACTTTGAGGAGGGCAGTTTCTGTACTGTGTAGGGCTCTAAAACCTGATTGAAATCTTTCAAAGAGATTGTTATGACACATAAAAGCTAAAAGCTGGGTTGAAACCACTTTTTCTAAAAAAATTTTTTTTTATATATACATTTAGACCTAATTACATTTAGACCTAATTAACCTCTCATTGTTAAATAATTTCACTAATAAGTGTTTGATAATTTCATAAAATATTTAAATATAAAAAAGATCAAGCACAACAAAAAGCTTAACATATGTTTTTTTTAGATGCTATGCAATTCAAAGATATTGCCTTTTTTTCAAACTGGTTGCAGTTGACTGGATTTGTTTCAGTTATGAGGTGCTTGGGGCAGATATGTTTTGCAGGCTGTGACATATAGGCATAGAGCAGCTCTGTGCAGGAGTGTGTGTTCAGTCGCACCCCATACTTCTTGCCTTGCTTTTGACAACATACAGATCTCTATGGCCTGCACTCTCTCACACAGCCGTAAACATTTTGGCTGCCTGTCCCAGACGCCACAAAATTTTATATTTTAGAAAACAGAATAGAGGCAATGGTCTGGAAACACAAATATTTTTCCATTCTCTAAGTTCTTATTTTTCCATACTTAATCAAGACCTGTAGATTACTAAAATCATACTGTGTAGGAACTCTGAAAGATCCTCATCCAACACGCTCCAAATGTGATAGATGGAGACAAAATCCACAGTGCTTGTTTCTGAGCAAACTTTATCTGAACAGTCTGAGTTAGGAAAAATATCAAGAGAGTATCTTTCTAAGTTGTAGTCTTTTGAGTGTAAAATTTCCCTTTTGTGTTTCTTCAGTGTTTTCATACTGTTGTTTTAAGACAGACTTAAAAAACTGTAAACCTATCCTCTAAGAACAGGATAAGTTCCAACTAAGGATAGACCGATACATCGGCCGGCCGATATATCGGGCCGATATTTGAGTTTTTTTACTTGTATCGGCATCGGCCGATACGCGCGTGGGTTCGCGGATTTATTTTTCCTTGGCACTTTTTTTCATTTGAAAGTATGTGGTTAAGTTGAACAAAGCTGTTGAATCCTACTGTGTACAGTAGTTGTTGTTTTATTTATGCTTCAGCTTAAATATTTGTTTATTTTATAAAGACATTACTGGAAGATTTAAGAGCACTGAACTCTTTTTTTTATTTAAATGTATAATAATAATAATATTCTACCTGTTCTACCTCAACTTTCCATCTTGTTTTAGTATTTTTTACTGTTCAATAAATGTTTCTTATTTTAAACTTGAGACCTGTAATATTTGTTATCATTGTGTCATTTTTTTGATGTAAATTGAGGGAGCAAAAGCAGTATTGGCCCCAAATATCGGCTCAAGAAAATCGGCAGTCCATAATCGGTCATCGGCTAAGGGTGATGGAAAAAAATCGGTATCGGCATCTGCCCTAAAAAATCCATATCGGTCTATCCCTAGTTCCAACAACAGCCTTGCATATTAACATACATTCTCAAAAAGGGGATTTCAAATGTGTAGATCAGCCAACATTTTACTCTGAATGTAAACTCGGAATGTTGCTCTGAATGGAAACATACTGTACACTAAATAATATTTATTCACCAAGTTCGCTGAACTGGCTGTGTAAGTACCTTTGACGAAAGGTAAAGGATTTGATTTGTTTCGGAAATAGCTAAAAGGCATTCCTACTCTTCGTACCTGCGTTTAAGCTTCGAGCCAACAGTAGGGAGAGGTTTGTGATTAAACTTCCTCCTGAGACTCTGGAGCTTCTGACTGTCGGCGAAACCGTAGACGGCTGACTGCCACGTGCCATCATGGATGCATCCACCCTGATCGAGGAAGACAGACAGACACACACAGATATATGAGAACATGAGGAGAAAAACATGACAAAGAGCATGAATTAAATGACAAAGGAGAATGTAAACAAGGAGAAAAACAAAACACATTTAAGTGAAGGGTCTAGTTTGTAAGATTTAGTAGCATCTAGTGGTGAGGTTGCAGAACTGTAACTTGTGTACCAAGCATGCAGGAGAACTACTTGGACTTATAAGTAATGTAGCTACACACCTCCTCTCCTGAACTGACAGTCAGGAAGCTCTCCACTGCAGTCAGCGTACCTGTGGATGAGCACACATACACACATCATGTTGTGGCAGAGGCTAACATGACAATGAATAAATCATGAATAGCAACAGAAAGCGAGCGAGCGAGCGATCAGTGAATATTGTGTGTATGTTTGCAAATGAGTGTGTGCATACCCTTGAACTGGTCCCTGGTGTAGAGGACTCCCATGTCCGCAGGTATGGAGTCAAATCCACAGCTCCCGATGATGTAAACACCTTTGTCAGCTGCCTGGCTGCTGTAGTTCAACTGCATGCCCTCCAGAAACTGCATACACCCAGACAGAAACACAAACACACAAGGAAATGTGTAGAAGCACAAATAAAAACACATTACACGAGTGCTTTTTAGTCTGCCTGTTAAACAATAAATGGTTACTCTATATTATATACAATTCAACCATTTTTTGGAATTTTATCAAGGATAATTATGAAATTACGGTGAAGTTCTATCCTGAGGTGATGAAGGTGGTGGTTACTGTATGTAGCTTTCAGAGTGCCTTTAGGAACCAAGACGCAGCCTCAGAACACACAGAAACTTCAAGTTAGGCTGTCAGAGTGACATGCTGTATTACACAGACTGGCATCAGTGGGGGAAAACCGCTGTCGTGCAGCCAAGTGAGAGATTATTTTGTCTAACAGGCTACAGCAGGCCTGTTCAGTTGGTGGCCCGTGGGCCACATCTGGCCCAGTAGGAACCTACGAGAGGCCCAGCATATATAAATCTACATATAAATCTCACACACACCTATATTTCGGCCTGACTGAACTTGTAACTGAGCAGCCCTGGGCTACAGCATGAAACCCAGCATGACTCCCATTTAATTTAATCACACAAGTTCAATGTTAAATCATCTGTAGGATAGATCCATACTATGCCCACTGACAACATGCAGGCACAGACACAAGATTTAAAGTCTTATTTAACAATTTTTAAAGTCAGAAATATAGATATCAAGCAAAATAAATAGTGTATAGAGGTCAGTTACTTAAATGAGTTTCATCTATATTGTTTACATTTTTAAATGTTATATGTTACAAGTTTAGAGGAGTCAGGTCTTTGGGAAAGGAGAGCATTTTTTTAACTTTAAAGGTCCAGTGTGTCAGATTTAGGGGGATTTAGTGGTAACTAAAGTGAGTGTTGCAGATTGCAACCAGCTGAAACTCCTCTGGGTTAGGATTCCTTCAGTGTTCATTATTCAGGAGGTTTTTCCACTGGGAGCCAAATTATCTGCTCTCTTCCTCTCCAAAACAAATGGACGAGGTAAAACCTTTAAAAAACTAAATAAAGCAGTTTCAAAAAAAAAAATTGTGTTTTTACAACACTGCTCGTCGTAGAACTACGTGGGTTAAGCAAAAACGCAAATGGCCCTGTTGAGAGCCAGTGTTTGGTTTGTCTGTTCTGGGCTACTGTAGAAACATGGCGGCGCAACATGACAGACTTCATGGATGAGGACCCACTCCCTATGTAGATATAAATGTGCCATTCTAAGGTAAAAAAAAAAGCAACATTTCTTATTTTCAGGTGATTAAACACTAAAGAAAACAGTGGTTTTATATCATATTCAATTTCTGCAAATATATCTGCCTAAATCCTACATACTGGATCTTGAATTAACTTTATTTATTAAATTTAAAGCATGTATTGCATTCATAAGTGTAAGATTTAGGTCCCACGACAGGAAAGAGGAAAATTAAAAAACATTGCCCTGTAATGCTCTCACAGTATATGCAGTGATTAATGTTGTGCACACACTATTATAAATAAATACAGCACTATGGGCACATACCTGAGGCTCTCCACTGATGTCGATATGGTGGGCTCCATTCTCCACACAGGCTTTGACCACTGGCTCGCCATAGAACCTGTACTATAAACACACAAACACACACACAAATAAATTAATACACTTTATTAATTTGTCCTCCTTTCTCTCCTAATTTGCTCAATGGCTGATTCACAATCAACTACAGTTCTTGTCACTGCTACATCCCTGTGCTGGTCTGAAGCTCCTCCAAGTGTTTGCTTTTTAATGTGCCCCAGAGTTTGACAGATCTGGGAAAAACTGCATTTTCCTACTCTGCACCTTGGGCATGGAATAATCTGCTAAAAGTTCTGAAACTAGAAACTTTTATATCCATTGAAGAATTTAAGGGCATCATAAAGAAAGTGGTGATAGAATCATATGGTTGTTTTTCTTGAGAGGCTGCAGAAATAAATAGCTATTCCTCTGTTGTATATGATGTATATTAATATGTTGTGATTTTGCACTGCTGCTACCTGGCCAGGTCTCTCTTGAAAAGGAGATTTTTGATCTCAGAGGATCTTTCTAGTAAAATAAAAGTAAAATGAATAAATAAAACACAGCCACTTCTTTCCACCTATGAAGAAGAAAACTAGCACTTCTGATCACTTTTCTTTTTGATTAGTAAAAGAATAAAACTTGATCAGCCTCCGTTGACTCATACGACTATATGTTTATTCTACACAAATCTGATATTAAAGAAGCAATTGACACAACATGTATCAACACCTTCACCAAGAACTCAAAGAAACTTGCTCTGTCTCAGCTTTTATCTACAATGTCAAAACCAATTTACTCCCTTGCATATTACAGGACAACTGGACATCTCAAGGTCTTTCGCTTATCGTTACTACTGGACAGCCTACTCCTCCACACATGAAGTTGGCCAAGTGTAAAGGTCGTATGAGGCCCCTTAAGTTATGAAACCATGAAAATGCAAAAACATATTTCTTCATTTCTAATTAATTTTTCTGACTCAACCTGCTGCAGCAACGACACATGTGACATGATCCCTCACTGGCTTTCCACACAGACACACTGCAGCTGCAGATTCCAGCTCTCCCGGCAAATCCGGTTAAACTTGTTCCTTGTACTGTCATGCGTTTCATATACACATGTTCAATATTAAGTGTAAGTCATATGATTCATGTGATTCTTATGAGCTGGCATCTACCTGTGGTCTTTAACAGTAATCCTCATTTGTTTAATTTTGTTTCAAGTTACACTGCACAGTCCAACTTGAAGAGTGAGGTACATTCTTCCTTGGAAACACTCCTTGTTCTTGTTCCTGTTCTTTAGACTGTTATGTAAGACGTGGAGTTTATGGAATACTCTGTTGTCTTTTGCACGTTGATAATACCAGATTTATTACATTTTTACTCACACAGGAAAAGCTGAGTGGCTTTGCATTGTCAAGATTAAAAACACTGAAAGTGAAAAGAAAGACAAGACAGTCCATCTGCTTTTGGCTTAAACTGTGGGTCTCTGTTTTAACCAAGCTGGTAAAGTGGAAGAATTTGGCTTAAAACAAGAACCTGAATGATGCACAGGAGGCAAAGCAGTGCTGGAAACCTACTTTCCATTCTGACTTCAACACAATACGGCTTATTGTGTGCTGTAAGTCAGTGGCCTTCATTGTGTAAATGAAGGCTGCTCTGTGTGTGTGAGAGAGAAAGAGACAGAGGAAGAGAGAAACAGAAAAAAACAGGGATACGCTGAGCTACACTGATGCCAAAGAGAGATGCCAACATGCCGATGTTGTGAGACCATGAGAGGAAAAAAGTAGTCAGTCATGGATGGGCGCAAGTTTTGTGTGTTAAGGAAACATTATCACAGGCGCACACATTTCTGTGTGACAGTCTACTTACAGGCCCCACGCAGTTGAGGACGATAACAGCCTGTTTGCACATGGCTGCCAGGGAGTCTGGTTCTTCTACATCTGCCACAAGGATGTCCACCTCTGACCTCAGCTCAGGCTTACCTACACGCACACACACACACACACACACACACACACACACACACACACACACACACACACACGCACACACACTTTGTAAGGGTGGGTGCTGTAGCTTATTTCAATACAAATGTTTGGAATACAATTCTCCCACAACAGTCTTCATGGTTCACACAATTAAAGATATTCATGATTCCCAGGTTTGAATGTGTGTACACTGTAAATAAAGGAGGAACAACCCACAACAGGCTACAAGTGCACAGATGAAATTTCTTGTTTTTGAACTTTTATACCTTTTTGAATGTACTTTAGATGCCAATGATTAGATGTCTACTTACTGTAAGGACGGAACGTGCAAAAACTATATAAGCTGTTTTTAAATGTGCCACTGTAACTGTTTGGGGCACATTTCTGTTTCAAACTTTTCAGTGTTGACTGAACAAATAGACTAGCTAACTTGCCAGGCTGTGTGCTGTAATGGACGAGGATTGTACAGTGAGCAGGTTTGTTCCGTCAGCTGTTGCACACTCCCTGAGGAGAAAGCCGCAGAGGAGGGGACAACAGAATAACTATCTAATCCTCTGGAAACTCACATTACTATCATGACAGCAGAATAGCTCCCTGGTCTTGATCGAGGGATGGACTTTATTTTCCATGTTTAGAGCGTTGCATGGATACAAATCGTAAACCTGGAAAATTACAGGCATACTAAATACATGTATGCTGCTATTCAGTAAACATTTCTTTAAAATTCCACATATTAATTGCATTTGGGGGAATTATATTTCTATTTCTGTTAGAGCTGAAATGATAAGTCAATTAACTGATTAGTCAATGAACAGATAAATGAATTGTATTTTTATATTTGATTAACCATTTAAGTTGTTTATGAAGCAAAAGGCAAAAAGTTTACAGGATAAAGTTTTTAAAAAGGCAGAACTTCCTGTTTTTCTCCATTTTGTGAAACTGTAACCTCGATATTTTTGACTTTTGGGCTTTTGGTGAATGTGGACTCTGATGAGGGTAATTGTGATGGGCACTCTCTGTCATTTTCTTCCATGAAATAGAAATTAATATTAATAATAATAATAATAATAATAATAATACTGTTTATATAGCACCTTAAAAGAGTTTACAAAGTGCTTTGACAATCAAAACAAAGCAGAAGCAAGAAACCCCAGAGGCAATATGTCAGTAGAAACTAAACTATAATGATGAAACAAGGCCAAACAAAAATACAGATAAAGTTAAACAAGAGATCAGATGCAAAAACTTATTGCAAAGAAGACAGATGAGAAATAAAGATAAAAATAAAAAAAAACATACCAATAAAAGTAAATACAATAAAAGAATAAAAGCATCAACACAAATCATTATTGCAGGATCAAGATAGAAGAGCCGACATCACATAAAGGCAAGTCTATAAAAATGGGTTTTAAGAGGTGATTTAAAAGAAGTGACAGATTCTGTGAACCTTCTCTCCTCTGGCAAGCCCTTCAAAACTCAAGGAGCCCTAAATTAGCTAGATAGAAAATAAATTCATTTAAAAAAACATGTACAGATTGTTAGTAAAATATAATAAAACTAATCATTAGTTGCAGACCTAATTTCTGTCTTTGGAGTAGTCAAATGAAATGTATGCTGTTGAGAGAAAGCTGATTACAAAAGACTATGTCAACTAAAACTTAGATTGGTTAATCTTTTACAGTATCAGGTAGAAATATATCAACCATTTGGTGCTTACAGTTTCAGCAAGGCACAGTTTCCTGCTACAGTACATGTTCAAGTTCATGATTTTGGCTAGATTAAGTTAGAAAATATAGACAACAGGGGTGGGGCAGTATTTTTGTGTACTAATATTGTAAGTATTGATTTTTTAAATATAAAATATTGATATTACAAATACAGATGAATCTTTTGGTGGCGTGTGAGAATAATAAAATCTGTAGCATTTTCAAGACACTAGAAACAAACTGCTGCACTAAAAATGTTTTGCTGTGAGATGAACAGGCTGAAAACTTTATCTTTTAGATAAAAGCAGATTTTAAAAAGTTATCCTTTGGGGACATAATTTGCATAAAATTTAACAGAGTAAAAGATTGATTGCATAATTATTTTAATGATGTGATTACATTATCAATTGCAACCAACAATAATAGCAGTTATTTTATTTATATGGTCAACTTTTGTTGCAACATCGCTTGTACTTTGGAGTTCAATCACATCGTAAGGGTAAAAGTGTTAAACTGATTACTATCAGCAGGTCCAACGTGGATAGATTAGTCATCCTGAGTCGGGGTTAAGCAATTTCCCTTTGCCTCAGAAACCCATGGTATGCTTGTACAATCAGTACAATCAACTACAGTATCCTTTCATTTAACTTCACCTCTGTTGAACAGATTAATTGTGAAGCTGTCCCTGCTTCAGCACGCACAACTAATGCAATTGTTGAGATACATACTGAGGACTCCGGCGGCCTGCTCCAGAACTTTTTCTAGCTTCTGCTTGCTCCTGCCTGCCACGGCCCACTTCAGGTTCCCTTTCGGACCCTCGGATACAGTCCGAGCCACCTCCTCCACCACAAACTGTCCCGTGAACCCGGAGGCTCCGAAGATAACCAGGTGGTACGGCCTGCTGGATGATGTCTCAATACGCGCCATTGTGACAGCACACAAGCTGGGGGAGCTCACTCACTGCGATACCTTCACCTCTGACGGACTGACAGGACTGCTGCATGCAGCTCTGACAGTGCTTCTTTGTCTACTTCCGTAGCAACATTATGCTAATACGCTAACAGATTTTAACAACAGCGGTAATGTCTTTATCTTCCCAAACAATTGCATATAAAGAAAGTATGTTACGTTAAGAGTGTAACTGTGAGCACATAATAGATTTATACAGTAATGCGCAAGCTTTACCAAACGTCTTTTTTTTTAGATTTACATGTTAGCAAAGATGCTCTGACGTCAGCGTGACAATTTCTTCGAGTTTCTGATTGGTTCTCGGAGAAGTCGCTAGTCAATGACGTCAATCACACGCGCCTGCAGCACCACGAGAGTGGCAAAAGCACTGCGAAGGGTCGGGCTACTGATGGCTCAATGTCACGGAGTTTTTCCAGCAAACCTAAAGCTATGGACCACTGTTAAATCACCTATGTCGTTAGATTTGGATATATATTGAATAGTCTTCAGTAAGGTATGTTGGTGTTTTCCCGATAAAACGACATTAAATGCATTTTAGTTGTAAGTGACGTTAGCGTATGGCTAGCCGGTCGGCTAGCAGCTTTGATAGCGTCAGTATCACTAAACTGTTAAACGCCTTCCTGTAACAGATTTTCTATGAGGTTGTTATGTGTATGTTTGGCGACTCGATGACCAAAGTCCTTCAATCTACAGTGTGATTAAAGTGTAAATCTCTCCAGTGAGGCCGATAGGGTGAAGCCATCAAACATTAAGGAGAAGTGAGGGTGTACCTCCCCACGTGCTAGGATTAACGTTACTTATTGTACTCACGGTGACACACGCCGGTTCTGCAGTATTAATTGTTCTGTATTATTGTAATTTTATATTAACGTAATCACTTAGAACATTCAAAGCCTCTATCTACCATTTGGATACCATAATTAAACACTGTTAGCCACCATAGCAAATTTTGAGCAAGAGTTCTGGAGTCATGCTTGTTACCAAAGTAAGTTAATGTTGGTAACGTTACATATGTAAATGTAAGTTAGTTACACTTAAATGTCTGTTATTCATAACCTCATGATATCCATCCTCCCACCCCTAGGCAGTGACCTCTTGAAGAGGTCCCCTAGTTTTCATCCCTGTTCCTCCTCTGTGGTTTCAGATCCACTGATCCACCATGTCCATCCAGATTTGTGGAGTGGTGAAGCTGCTTATGCGCTCTGGTTGCTGCCAGACCATCAGAAGTAGGTCCTGTTTGCATAAGCCAGTGTTGGCCCCTGTGGGTCATTCTGACCTTGTGGTCCCCGGGGCTCCTGTGCTTCATAGAAGGGCCTACAGCCTAGACTCTCTCTCTTCGGGTCCTGGCCGACCCACACTTGGTTCAAGCTCTCAGCAGCCCCGAGCAGAAAGGACATCCCCATCCTCAGCACTCACACACAGGAACCTGTCTGCTGTGGCTGTACAGGTAAGCAGTTATTTTTGGCTTTGCGTGATTCTCAACACTAGTCTTCCACTGCAACCTTGCGTTTGTGAGGTTCTAATGAACTGGTTTGCTATCTATTTACAGATGTCTGTACTTCAGTTTTTGTGGTATTTTTAGAATGTGTTTCCATATATGGTTCATGGTCCTCTATCTATTCACGTATTCTGAGTTGTTTGTGTTGGTTACAGTAATGAAAGGGCAAGCAAAAAAACCTGAACACAACACACTTTTCCCCAGCACCTTTCCCCATCTCTTCATTGGGGATGATGAGTGCTTACAGGCTTATCTAGAGATGAAAAACCTCGAGCATATATGCTCTATTGTGAGCCTTCTTTTAACTGCGGTGGTCTGACACCTGCCTTATACAGCTGTTTTTCCTTGATTGTTGAGGTACACAACAAAAGACTCCGCTCTGCCCTGCACCAGTCCCTTATGTTGTACCCCAAACAACTGCAGTTACAAGATGAACCTTTTTTGTATTCATATTCATGCCGTATTTTAGTTTTCTGTATTATGTTACTGTCTGCTGCAGCAATGCAAAGTTTTGCCCCAGGGACCATTAAAGTTTCAATTTATATGGTTTTATCATAATACACTGTGTAATTCTTGAGGGTTTTCTGTCTACATGAACCTCTTTGTGTGAGGAGAAAATTCATGTATTGATAGAAATCTTACGTTTGTGCTTTGTTTTTGCCTCAGTGAACTGAAAAATAAATAGAAAATTGACTGTCACTCAACATCTATTTTTGTCTTTCCCCAGGGCCAGTGTCGTCCTCTGTGCCGGTATGACTTCCTGGACCTTGGTGAGGTAGAGGATAATGTACGCCGTGCTCAGACCTGTAAAGCAATGCGATACTTCATAGTGGACCCAGATCTGGCTAAACTGGTAGTACAGCATCTAGAACCAGAGGATCCTAAAACTGTTATCTTCGAATGTAACCCAGGTATGTGTTTATACAGTGGGTAAGTCTTCTAATTTGGCACCAACATATGCAAACTAGATCATTTATTTTTGACTTGGCTGCAATGCAGTAAATATTATTATTTATAAGTTAATGAAAAGTATATTATTGTTGTCCGTGAAACAACAATTGAAGGGCTGTCCTTGTATCTAACTTTCTTAGGTCCTGGAGTGTTGACTAGGTCACTACTAAATGCTGGAGCTCAGAGAGTTGTGGCTCTTGAAGGGGATAGATCCTTCTTACGTGATCTACAGGTAACACAAACATCAAACAACATTCTGTATCCTTACATGTAGATTAACCAGTTCTTGGTTCTATTCTCATCAGATGTTAATTCTTCAATTAATCCTTTTTCCCTCATGGAGCAGTAAGACAAATGAATGTTTTTCGTGTTGTAGGAGTTGGAAGGTCAACTCGATGGTCAGCTGGAAGTGGTACACTGTGACTACTTTAAACTAGACCCCATTGGCATTGGACAAGTTAGACCCCCCGCCATGTTCACTGACAAACTGTTCACTCACCTGGGAATATCAGAGGCGAGCTGGACTGATGGTGAGAAAAAACTCAAGATATTGCTTTGTTTCAGATTCAGTCACTCATCTATCACATACACACACACAAAGGGGTTGTTGCTTCTTTAGTTGAGTAAGTATTATCCTAACACTTAGCAATGCCACAAGTCTTTACCTAATATACCATACAGTATGTACCTTAAAACATTTGATTGGTGGGATTTTTCAGCGGCTTGCAACATTTGGAGTGTCTCAGTGTAATAACTTAGTATTTAGCTTTTACACAATAACACACTTAATTGAGCAATTTGCATTACATAGTGTACCATCCCCGGAAGTGTGTGTTTGCTAATGTACTTGTGTGTGTGTCTCTAGACATTCCAGTGAAGGTAGTGGGTATCCTGCCCCTGCGTAATGAGCGTGGATGGCTACTGAAGATGGTGTACGCTTTATATCAAAGGCTGTCTGTCTACAGATATGGAAGAATAGAGCTCAACTTCTTCATGAGTGAGAAGGAGTACCTGGTAAAGGAACAAGGGCATTTTTACCTCTACATCTGTAGAAATGAGAATCAGTCAATCTCTTGATCACTGAGTACAACCCTGTGTGTGTGTGTACTTGTCTTTATGAGGATGGAGTAGGTTACACCCATGCTCACACCTCTTGTTTTCATTTGGGGCAGCTTTAAACCAGCTCACATCTGTACTTAGTTACTGCTGCACCTGTCAGTGCAATCATCGGCTTTGGTGATCTGCCCTGAAAATAGCCATATCTATGCTTACAACAATCATTAGTTAAAGCTGTGGAAGAAATGTGTCTTATTTAGACCAATAGACATTTTTTCTTTTATTGTTGTGTAAGATAATTAACGCTGTTATTTCTCCACCAGAAACTAGTTGCACGTCCAGGACAAATGATGTTCTACAGAGCCTTCAGTGTCCTCTGGCAGATGGCCTGTGATATCGAACTACTACACAAGGTACAGTATGAGGGAGGGTGACAGACAACATTTTGGTAATTATGAAAATGTATTGAAACCAGTTAAAGGGATAGTTCAGATCTTTTGAAGTGGGGTTGAATGAGGTACTTATCCATAGTTAATATATCACCTATAGTAGATGCCAGTCGGTGCACCCCAAGTTTAGAGAAGCAGCAAGAGTACCATTACAGAAGCTAAGCAATGTACTGCTGTGGAGGGGGCAGCAACAAAATGTACTGTAGCCACCTAAAAATAATCACACCTAAAATGAATATCAGTTTTAGTGTATGCTTTGTTGAGAATATTTTAACTGCTTTGCCGTGACGCCAAACAGTGATTTCCTACAGGGAACTGAAGCTGTTATTGAGCTCTCTTGAAAGCCAGACTCTGTTGGGAAACCCCCCCCCCCCCAAAAAAAAAGGTTATGTTATTGTGTGACTTAGAGCTGTGAAAGTCTTCTGTATAGTGTATAGTCAAACTGTTCAAGTGTCCTAAAATATGTTTTGCTGCTGCCCCCATCCACAGCAGTACATTGCTTAGTTTCTGTGGTGGTACTTCTGCTGCTTCTCCAAACTAGGAACATGCCAACCAAAATCTACTCTATATAATACACTGACCAAAGATAAGTGTCCCATACAACCCCTCTTCCAAAAATATGAACTATCCCTTTAAGGTTGACATTTAAACACTTGTTTATAACAAAAGCAATAGTTTTTAGGTTCAAAAAAGCATGTTAAAGTGTCTTGATACTTCCTTGAAGCTCATGATAGGTATCATGCTACTAAAGCTTCCACATTTTCAACATAAAGAGGATAAATCTGACAGAAAGCATCTAGTTGTCAACATCCTCATCTCTGTCTGTGCAGGAGCCCTGGGGGTCATTTGTGAGGTCTTCAAAACTGGGTCCACCTAGTCCTAAGGGATTGGTAAAAAAGAGAGCAGACTCAATAAGAGCAATGTAAAGTAGACTGGAATTGTCTATTTAATACATATAATGTCTCCCCTCGTACTTTTCCTCTTGCTCCCCTCAGCTTCCCAATGACAATCTGTGCCTGGTGCGTATGCGTCCACGGGCTGATCTGTTCTCTGCTGGCCTCACTCCTTCTAATGCTTCTACTCTGATGATAATGGTCAAACAGTGTCTGGCAAAGAGGAAGGTCAAGCTCATTGACAGGCTCAAGTAAGATACACACACAAAGCTATTGAGACAGGCCTGCAGCCAGCATATTACACATGTTGCATCTCAGACCTGCTTACAGACACACCAAGTGCATCCATGCTAAAGCAGTATTATAGGCTGTTCCAGTTGACACTTTTGGCCTTATTCTCCCTCTTGCTTATTCTCCATGTCTTGTGTTTTTTCCAGTCTGTGGTCTCCAGATAGTGGGAGTAAGCTGTTATCGGAGATGAGCATGCCGCAGGACATACTGACAGGCCACGTATATCCAGAGGAATATCTTCGACTGTTCCAGCTGATGGACAAGAGTCAGGAGTTCACACAGAGCTGGCTTTATGAAGAGATTCTAGAGAACACAGAGAGGGAGGGTTGGAGCTAAAATATAATCTTACAGGTCATGTGTATAGTTTTATAGAAATTAAATGCAAAAGTAAACAAAAAAAAACATGTTAAAAAAATAATAATTTAATATAGGAATTTAAAGTCTGATGAAGTTAAATGAGTAGAAATGGAAGACATGTGCATGCATGCATACATACAGAATCACAAAATACAGCAATAAGTAAAATGTTCACGAAATGGACACAGAAGAATTACTTGACATACTTTTGTTACTGACATAATCCACTTGTGTAGGGAGTGACTGAGTGATGAAAATGTGACTTGCTATACTCTGGTGCAATGGTGAAATGAGTTTAAATGACCCTCTGTATTGTGCTGAATTGGGATTCTCATGAGGTGAAATTTAAGACAAAATCTTAAATAATAAATGGGTTTTTGGGGGGCCCTCGTTGAGATTTGTTGGCTTGCCACTGAGAGAAAAATGTTTTTTGCACTGAAAAGATTTGAAATTGTTGCGAAATAAAGGTCTGATAGTTACCATGTAGAAGAAAATCTCCATTTAAAGATGAGCAGCATGTCTAAAGGGGCTGAAAAAAGCCTCATGTATGCACCAGGTCATGCAAATTAAAATCAGAAATCTACATGTACTCAAATGATTGATAAAACCACAATTTTGCTTATGCAGCATACTGTGACAGCAGTATTGCAACACAACCTTGGATGTATCCCATGTTGCATAATTTTCCCATTCTAGAGTGGCAGTGCTGGAAGAAGAGTTTTTCACTGTATAGCATCAAGACTTGTATATTTTTGTACATGCATTGTGTGTTCATAAGCTTTAAATGAAATGTGTCTTATTGATTTTGAAAGCTGTGTGTGAGATATGATTTTTAAAGAAATGATTAAATCATAATTTTAATATGGAGTGTGTGGGGAAGAAAATGATTTGAGCCTTGTTTTAGTAAGTGCTTGCACCATCAGTGCTTTTATTTTGATGAGTCTAGGTCAGGGGTGATAAACATAAGGTCCATGGGCCAGAGCTGACCCGCCATAGGGTCCAATCTGGCCCACCGGATGTTGATGCACTTGTGAAGGCTAAGAGGTGCCAGCTTTCAGGAGCAAGTTAAATGCTGAGCAGCCTATTTCCTGTAAAATGCTGCTTCAGAGGCTTGTTCACCCCGATAAGAGTATAGTTCCCTAAAAAGACAATGAATACTTATTATGGTCATATTTAAAGATAATGAGCATTGTGCAGAGTATTGTAAATCAGTAGTTTTAGCACAAAATAATCTGTATCAGACTTACATACTAAATTATCTGGGGAATCTTATTGCTAAGGCACTTCCAAAACTAAAGTTTAAGGTGTGGTGTTACCAGCGTTACTACACAGGAGTGGAGATGTATGGAAAAATGCACGAGCAATGATGGGGAATAGTACGCTGACAGATGTGGAAAAACTAGGACATACTGATAAAATTGCAATTATTTTTCTTGAGATGTCTCAGACTGTTCATCCGTTTTGTAAATGGATAAATATGTTCAGGATGTACTTCTTTACACTAAAAGAAAGGGGAACAATTTGGAGGTGTTCTTACTTGAAGATCATTATACAATGGTTTTACTGGTCAGGCCTGCTTTAGATCAAATTGAGCTTTATGTGGCCCATACATGAAATGAGTTTGACACCTAAGTTTCCTTCCCTGGTTGCATATGATGATTTATAAGGTTGGTCATATGCCTTTAAACAATTTCTATTTTGGGAACAGTGTGTGCTAAATCATGAAAGCTTGAGCTATCTGTCATCCTGTCATACACGCAAGGCAATAATACAGTGAATAAATTATTTTTCTGTGAAGACCATTTGGCGGATTTGATTGCCTCTGTAAAGACTGGGTTTTGTATTGAAAGGCTGTCTGGAGGAGTGCACTCTCCACACAGTATTTTGTTGCCGGAAGCTTCTAGTATCTTAACTCATCCAGTATTTGTCCCCAAAGCACTGTAACACAGCAACAGATGGCTTTGCCAACATAGAGTGAAAATAGGTCATCTTAAGCTCCTTTCACACATGGAGTCTCTGTTCAGGAAAAAGCACTGGATTAAATTCTTTGCGGTATTGTTTTGTAATGTCCCTGCAGAAAAAAAAATCCATGTACTGACAGTGTCACAACAGAAGATGGCGACAGTGCATCCTGCGCCCAGTAGCAGCAGTGCACAGCCCGGGCCTGATGACAGCAACGACCCCTGACTGTCTGTTGGTTGCACCTACGTTACAGTCAATACAACAACATCCTCAGCTCAGTGTCTGATGCCCGAGCAGTCAACATTCAGCCAAGCTTTGCAGCCGTAAGTATCGTTTGATTATGTTGTGCCCTAAAAGTCTATCTTATAATTTAAAAGCTAGCGGCTTTACGGAAAGCAAATATATTTAAAATGTTTTCTCCGCGGTGTGGACGCCAGATGTGTTTACTATCACTCAGCTAGCTTACGTTAGTTAGCAACAGCAGCGCACATACCTTAACATCATGCTAACTAATTTGACTTAACGTTAACGGCTAATGTCAGTTATTAGCTTTAGCTCAAGCTACTCATTTCGTTTTCTTGTAATGTTATGGTGATAGAACAATACAAACCTGTCGAGGTGCTTAACGTTAAATCAACACTTAATTTAAACTTAAAAACAGGACTGGACTAGTCTGCTTTTTGGTATTTTAACATTACTGTTAACGTAACATGCTAACCCATATATGAAAGCTAGAAATAGCCGACTAGCTAGTAACGTTAACCAGGTAATGTCAACAGAATCAGTGTCATGGTGGAAATGACAGTCACTGCATGTGTGTTTTCTGTCACTGGTTTCTGTTTGACTTAAACGTTAAATACATAATATCATGGACAGAATGTTAGGACAAACCTTTCCTTTCTAAACAGGTTAGTCAGTAACGTTACACACATTTAACTGGTGACTAGCCAACACCTGGCATGGGTGCAGTTTACTGCAGATATTTTAGCTCTAATTCGCTAACTTGCTATATTTTCTTACCAAGTTTATTAGATCATTTTAAAACCTCTCTTTGTAAAGAGAACCTGATATCAGTGTCAGCTCATGTATGGTTGTTTTTAGCTATGTTCCTGTCCTTTTGTATCTTTGCAGTGGCCTCTCACAGAGCAGGGTCTTTTCCTTTCACCTTTGTGTTTGTCCTTTTGGCTGAATTCCCTCCTCTGTTTGTCACTTCTTCTGTCCTTCATTATTTATGGTCCCCCGTAGAGAAGCTTGCAGACAAAAAGAGGAGAGGATGGATAGTTGTATGGACAGATGGCTCTGCGGGAGAGGGGCATTAAAGGGTACTGTAGATACAAAAAAAAGAAAGAAAGAAAAGAAAACACACACCCACATAGCATAAGACATACACATGACATGTACAGTAACACCTGCGTGTGTAATTTGGAGGCTGTTGTTGCATAAGCTTTAATGTCGCAGTTGTTTGTCATGGGCTGGGAGCATTTTATTCTCCAGAGGGACATTTATTTAGCCTTGGAGTATTGACACTCCAGTACAGTCTGTCATCTAGCGTTGAGGTTTGCAGATTGCAACCAGCTGAAACTTCTCCAGATTATAATTCCTTCAGTGTTCATTGTTCAGGAGGTTTTCACCGAGGGCCGATTTATACTCAGAGATCTCTTCCTCTCCAAAGTAAACGGACTCAGTGATTAAAAGCTGTAAAAACACTGAATAAAGCATTTTCACTTTACGAACCAGTTTTCCTCCTTTGCTGTTTGGCACATCACAAACGGGCTGCTCGCTCAGCATCTGCTATGTGTTTTCATATTTTTCCCCTGATAATAAATGAGTGCTCACCTTATTTATGATCCAGAGGTTTTTTATTTTTTTTTTTAATGTGAGCCAAATTATCCGCCGAGGCCTTCTCTGCTCCGAAACAAACAGACCCAGTGATTCAAACTGGTAAAATCACTGAATAAAGCAGTTTCACATAAAAGCTTTGTTTTTTTCCGGCACTCTTGTTGCGGAGGGGCTGCTGATTATGGTGCCTGACATGAGAACGTGAATGCCCCTCTCTAGAGCCAGTGTTTGATTTGTCTGTCCTAGGCTACTGTAGAAACATGGCGTTGCAACATGGCAGTCTCCATAGATGAGGACCTGCTCCCTCTTTAGGTATAAACGGCTCATTCTAAGGTAATGAAACCAGAACAGTTATTATTTTCAGGTGATTATACACTAAACAAAACATACTTATTAAATTATATATAATTTCTATAATATAATATGTCCTCCTAAATTCTACACACTGGACCTTTAAAGCCATACTGATATCTAGGAAGCAACTTTGCTTTCCATAGTGGATATATAGTGGTATGGCGTGTATCCAGAAGGTTCTGTCTCTTGTTAAAATATATGGAGCTTCTGCAACCCAAAGGCAAGATGATTTTGTCATCCCATAGGTTTTCACTTCCCTTTGGAGACAGCAGCCCTCAGTGCTGATTTTTTCATGGACTCACCTCCGAAGATGTTTCTCTGTAACACTCATATGTGTTACCATATTATATGTAAAACTGTCTATAAGGGTTTTAATAAGAATGTGGCCACAGGGAATCAAAGTTGTGCAAGGTGTGTTTGTCTTGGCTTTCTTCTTAATTCTTAAATGTTTGGTCTAAGTGTTACACAAAGCAATACAGGGTTACAGGAAGAACAATTAGCGTAGTGCTGAAGGAAACCAGGACAACCCTATTCCTCTGAGATAGGCTCTCATTAGCCTGGATGTGTGCGTTTGTGGAGGTTTTTTAGTCAGAAATGTACCACTAACTGTTTGGGCTTGTGGGAGGCACTTTACATAGAAAGGTATTATGAGCTTATTGTCTGGAACACTCAAAATGATGTTTCAATAGCATGCTAGTTTTACAGTGCGTGCCCTAATTGTTGAATGTAGGCTGCATGTGTTTAGAGTCGTCTAAGTAACGTAAGGAGCAACAATGACAAAACAACCTGTCAGAGTTTTTGTCTTGAGCTGAGTTAATTGCTGAGTCAACTGTGAACCTAAGAAAATAAAAAGCATGCTATTGCACAATACTGTTACACCGAAAACTGATTTACCAGTTTGTACGCTTGCACCTCCAACTGCCCTGCAATAAATCCTATCGTAGGGGAGCATATACTTGACATTGTATCAGAGACATTGTGATTAAACTTTACAGTATAATCATTTTTGAGGCCCAGGTTTGTAGTGTTGTTGTTTTGGGTTGCACTGCATTGTGGTGTATGGTATTTTGTCTGCCTAATGTACGTAAATGGAGGCTGAAAATATATGATTCATTGCATCTCATGTATATTGCCATGCATAATTTTGATGCTTGTCTCACCTAGTTACTTTACTAAGTTACCTTTATCTGTAAATTGTCACAGTTACTGCTCTCCCGATGACATGAATCTGTCTACAGTAAATTCACAGTACCATAGCTAAATGTTGAATGTTATAACATCTCTCTCTGTCTTGCTGTCTGTATTTATGTATTAATTTATTGTTTAGTGGTTTTGCAAAAGGTATTTTAATTGAAAGCAGACTTCAAAACCTAAATCCTAACATTTTGACATCTAAATTTCTGTTTAAGCTTAATTCTTCTTAAGAGTGAGAGAACGTGTTCTAAAATCCCCATTATGTCAAATCACAATGTCCATAAATAGATTTCTTTGTACTGTTATACTGCAGTACAAGTGTTGGTAAGATGGTTCCACTCTGATAGGTTTTTAAATCTGTTTAAGCCCTAGGGTTTGTTTGACAACTTGGGAATGATGCTAAACTTGTTTTGTGTCTCTCCCTTTCTCATATTCTCTGTTGTCTCTAAGTGGAGTTTTACTTATTTGTTTTTCTTATTGTTCCTGTCACTGATACGTGCCTGTCATCTGTCTCATTCTCCTTATCTCTGCAGGCTTGAAGAAGGGCTTGTTTAATACTCGGCGCTCACCTTCATGCTGAAAGGTCATACGTTGTGAGGGTGGTGCCCGATGGATCATGGTGGTGAGTGTTAAAATTTCACTAAAGCATAACACAAAATATAAGATCAGAATACATAAGAACAAACTTCAAGATCACAATATCAATATTAATTGGTTGTGTTTTACAATAAAAATATCGTCAACTAAACTCTGCTGAGAATGAGGAAAGTTAGGTGTGGTTTTTTTCCATGCTGTGGTTGCTTTGTCTCAAGTTGCAGTTGACCTGTAAATATGACGTCAAAGACAATTGAATGACGTTCATAGTAATTCAGTTGTCTTTGTTTTTGTTATCTTTTTAAACTTTGTAGAATTTCAACCAATCCTTTATTTTTTTATCTCCAGGTCAGCTTGAGAGGGAGGGAAGAGTAATGTCACAAGTTCAGGTGGGCGGGGTTGACCTCTGTGATAACCTTCCCAGCCCTGACGCTCTCTCTGCTCAAACTCGAAATCTCAACGAGACAAACACACTCACACAGACTCAAAGTCTCTCTCGTTCACAAAATGAAGAGGAAGGAGGGCTCATCCAGAAAGCCTCTGTCAACCACAATGGGAAGGACATGGAGGAGGAACAGGGAAGGGAGGGATACACAGGAAGAGGCAGAGAGGAGGACGAGGAAGAAGACATTGATGAGGTGATGAAGGAGGAAGAAGAGGAGGAAGAATCAGAGGAATCAAGCTGTCTAAATCGCTGCCAGTCTCCGGACACTCCCATGACTGACTCCTCCTACTCAGAAACCGGTAGGGAACACATAAAACACACATTAAAGAAAAAATCATATATGTACACGCACGACCATAAACTCTCACAAACACTACTGTTTGAAATCTTTGTTTCTTACTTTTTGCCATATGCAGTACTTTTGTTGGCCACATGGGGGCAGTAGACCACCACGGCAAGTTCACAGATACACAGCTGAGCATGTTATTGTCTTATTATGTTGTTATGGCTGGTGTGTTGGAAAACAATACGTGCATCTGGACTGACTTTGTCTGCTGTTTGTCACTGGGGAGGTAGCATATATAGCTTACATAGCAATCAGTTAAAACAGCCACCTGCTGTTGCTGGAAACAAAGCTGCTCATAGTGGGTGTGTGAGTGGGACTGAAGATGGTAAAACCAAAACAATGAGCTTAAAGGGATTAAAAATGCTCTGAAATGCTGCAGAGTTTAGTGTTTAATTTCTCTGGAATTGTGGGTATGACTCATTTCATATCACACACAGACAGATTCATTGTAAATATAAAAAATATGGATTGGTGGAGCTTTAAAATAAGGGTTACATAAGACAGACAGAAACAAAGATGCTAATATATGCAATGATATAATTATTTATATACTGCTAATTTAATGAAGTCTGCAGTTTCCATCTTATTCTGAGTTAAACACCCTAAAATCCTCTGATGTAATAAAATAAAATAATACCTGGCAGTGCAAGAGTAGGTGTTTTTGACTATGGATGGCACTTAGACACCTTTTTTTGCAAATATTAACTGAATAATTATCTATCACCTTTGTTTTAAGATAGACATTTTCTATGATTTTTATCATGGCGCATTAGCTTTCACTGCTTAATGGTGGTAGTTCAAGAAGCAACAGTGTAGTGAAGGCCACCACTCTGGTCACGGTGTGGTTTACTCACTGCTGTAATGCCCTTTGTGTGTTTTTAAGTGGTCAGCGTTATGGATTGAGTCATGGATTGAGGTCAGGCTGACTGTTGGTGATGATGTCATTCTAATCACATGACTTATGGAGTGAAACAAGACAAATAAGATGTAAGGAGGGCATGTGTAGAGTGAGAGAGAGAAAGAGAAAGGGAAATTTAGCAGATGAATAGATGAAGTGAAAGATAAAAGGACCAGAGGGGAAAAGGGAGTGGATCGTGGACCACTCTACTATGAGTCCCATCTCCATAACCCAATATCACTAATAGGATAGACCTTGGTGTTTCTTCCTAACCTGTATCTGGCTCCATCAACTATATGTGCATCCTCTGACTGGTAGCTGTGTGTCGCTGTGTGTGCTTTCTACTGAAAAGGAGAGAGAAGCGGCTGTGAGCTGATTAGCTGAACTTTATCTGAGGCGGTGAAGTTAACATTTGTGTGGACAATAAGCCACACGATGTTGAAATTTATCCTTGATCAGAAGTATTTTCAATTAGTTTCGAGACCAGATGGTCCTAAACCAAATTCTGTTAGACAGTCTGAATAATGTAATGCACAGCAGACTATAGGCACGGATGAAATATTAGGACTGTGTTCTCATAAAATATATACTATGCAGGATTTTCCTATAAAACAATGTATAGACAATGTATCATACAAAAGCAATCCCTCTCAATCATCTGTAAGCAGCAGTTATCCAAGAGACACAGAGCTGAGAAAATACAAATGTGAATGGAGTGAATCGAGTGTGTTTACAAACAATAACAGACAGTCCTGCAGAGTTTACCATTAAATTACAAGTTTATTCATATACTATTACAACCTTTTTTCTCAAAATGTTTCAACTTTGCTCTCAACACAGATATGTGAGGTAAGTTTTGTATGTGAAGAAAGTTGGAACATGAGCAGAAATCTTGTTAAAACATGTGAGCTCTTAAAGTCCAGGGGTTTATAAATAATTAAAATGAATGAATGTGTCGTTGACATCATTGACATGGGTAGGTGACACATGCACATTTAAAAAGGTTACTTCCACAAACAAGAGGCACAAAAGAGGAGGGGGGAGTAAATCATGGCCTACATGTGTGTTGACTCAGCCAGGATACAGGAGGGAAACAGGAGAATAAATATTTGAAAGCAGTACAGAGTGTCCGAGAGCCTCACTGCATTATATTCCTTTCTTTATTGTGAATTGTCACCTGTTGCCTGAATTTGCTGTTTCCCTTCACATAAATGAAAACATTACCACCAAAAGTGATGCAAAAAAATCACTAGAATGTAAGAAATGAATTGATTGACACTCAAACTGTGTCTTTCTCTCCCTCTGTAGGTAGTCTCTTGGAGACTCCATATCCTTTCAGCCCTGGGACCAGTCCAGAGCCTGCATCCCCTGTCATTCCAGTGGTCAGTCCAGAGACTGTGTATCCCACCAGTCAAGTGGAACTGAGTCAAAGTGATGTCAAAGTGGACTCTTGTAGCACTGAGTCAGGTGCCTCTACCACAGGGTCCATTACACTGGGACCCACCCTCACTACAGGACTTGTAGACTCTTCGACAGTAACTACAACCTCAGACACCAGGTCTACCAGCCTGCCTGAATCTACGTGTATCACAGAAGCTTCAGACAGGATAGCAAAAAATACCAACTTCCCGACAGAACCTCTTACCTCATCCACAGAGCCTGTCTTTAACCCCGGGTCCACATGCGCCATAGGGTTTCCCAGCTCATATGCAGGACCTATCACCTCAGATGCAGAGACTTTTACAGTAACTGCTTGCACCACAAGGCTGAACACTTCTGTTGCTTCCACTCCTTTGAGTGCACCAACAGAACCCCCTACCCTCACCCCAGGGCCTATGACTACCAGTATAGAATTGAGTACCACCACAGGACCTATAACCTCACACTCAGAACACATTACCGCCACACCAGTGCCCACTTGTTTCTCAGTCTCCACCTCTGCCACAGGGCCTATTCCAAGCCCTGCCCTGCTGGAGTCTCTGGAGGAGTTGGCACAAAGAGGAGATGACACTCACCTTCCACAGTACCTTCACCAGGTAACCTGTCTGTTTTATTTCTGGAATAGTATGTCAGATACTGCAAGTTGTGTGTCAACACCTATTCTGTCCGTCACTCGCATGAACAGACACTATTCTCTTTAATGGTTTCTTTAAGTTTTTTTTTCTTGCTGTCTCTAAGTCATTTTAGTCTCTTTAAACTCTTGCTCTCACACTAGTTATTAAATAACTGTTATCCACTCAGCCTTATAATCCGAATGGCACTTTGCACCCTAAGGCATGGGTGTCTTCAGCGTCTATACACACAAACACAGACATGCATGCAGGAATGCACATGAACCACATGCACATTACACTAAAAACATACACTCTCAGTCTCTCTCTGCTCGTTTCTCTCTCACACACGGTCTTGCATGACAGGACATGTATGTTATGGGGTGTGTGAATAGTTCTGTCAGTTTGATTTACAAATGTAAATTTCCACGAGGCATAGGCTGCTTGAGGTACACAGGCAAACAGGTGTGTGTGTGTGTGAGAGAGAGAGAGCGGGGGGGGGATTGCTGCCACAACACATGAACTCACATACATGTGTTTCTGCCTCTTTTTTCACAAAGGTTTTGATAAAATACAGTAACTTATGGTTTCACCATAAAAAGGTGTGTTGCGAAACTCAAAAAAAGGTCTTAACTACTGAATGGTGGTGTTGACAGTGTCTGGAAAAAAGTTTCTACCTGAATCAAAAAGCATGAAACCAGTAATCACTACTTAAAGCCAGATGCAAACTACAGCCTGTTGATACTAATCCAAAGCTTTATTCCTACAACACAATGCCGTGGTAAAAGAAATCATAACACCTGGTTTCAAGTGTCATTTCACAATGCTTGTGTATGTGCAGGTGTTTTTTTTTTTCTTTTTTATAAGAGAACAGGCACCATTGCACAAATCTCCTTAAGTGTGAGAACTGCTGCTAACAGGATTATTGGTATAACAATTGTCTTTTTGGAAAATATTAACAAAGAAAAATCATCAACTTCAGTCTTGCTGCTGTGTCCAGTCAGTGAGCTTTTAAAAAAGATGAACTCTGAACTCTCAGTGACTGATTATAGAAATGAAAGCACCTCATGTGACAGCCTTACAACAGGGTCACAAGCCTACGACCGGTCGAATCAAAGTTTGACAGTGTTTTACATGTTATGACAAAAGGATATGCATTACATTTGGTTTAATCTGTACAGAAGCATAATACATTCACTCATGAATTACAAGATCATTATCTCAGAATTCTGAGAAAAGTTTCATGGAAAAAAAATTCTGCTCTTTATCCGAATTAACAAAATCTCTGTTAATGTTTTAGGTCACAAATGTACAAAAATCCCATTCTTATCAATATTAGCGGGTACAGAAAAGAACTTTCCTGAAGTTAATGTATATTATTGGACTGTAGCTTTGGTAAATATGCAAGCCTAATCTTTAAGTGATGTGGAACTATTAAAAAAACAAATTTAAACTCTTTCCTACTTACTATTCCGTCATCACCGCCCCTCACTTCATTAGAAATGCGAGTGCCTTTTGTGCCCTCCTTTCCTCCTCCTCTTTCTCTCTCTCTCTCTTACACACACACACACACACACACACACTTGTCCTGACATCAGCTGAGCAGCATGAAAGCGACACTAGCTGAAGAGAGGTAAAGTGTCTACCATGGTCTCATGTTTTTCTGTCTGTGTGTCCTGCTTTTCACTCTCACTCTCATTTTCACTCTGTCTTTCCAAAATGTTTGGGACTTACTTAACTGCTTAACTGTTTTATTATATTTCTGATAACAGATAATGTTTTTTTTCTGTATAGTTAATGATTATAGGAGTCATTGCAGCACAGCAGTTACAGCTTTGTACAGTGTAGTGTTTCTATGTTCTGTAGTTGCATTTTTATTACCTGTATTCTTGTTTGTTGAATGTAATTTTTCTTTGACTGATCTTGGATCATGACCAAGAATCACTCTACATGAGGAATAGTTTTAGTCTGTTTTGAAACCCCCATTGGGCCAGTTTTCTTGATAGCGTCTGTGACTTAAGTGCTGTGATAAAGAGATATTTATTTTAAAAAGTATACACTTTATTAACAGTTGTAATGCCTCTCTCTTTCTCTCTATGCAGATTGCAGAGGCCTTCGTCCTTCAGGAAGACTGTATCCTTATCATTATGTTTGCATGTCTGTCTGTCGCGTGAGTGTCATACGCTTCCCTCCTGCATGCGAACCTGTCTGTTTTTATTTATGTGGTCTCATTTTGGCTATCTTACTCCTTGTCTGTATTGTCATCTGTTTTATTTCACACACTGGATTAAGAGCCTGAGGATCTGGAGAGACTTGTCACACCAACATTTCAGTGGATTACCTGCTGCCTCACTGACTTTATAGACAGCGTGGTTAAAAAGAGAGCAAGAGATAGAGTAGATGGAGGGGAAAAGAGTGAAACAGAACTTGTAAAAAGAGAAGAGGATATGAGAAAACTCTAACCAGAGAGAGACGAGAAAGCAATAAAGAGACAGAATAGACAGCAGAACATGAAGAGGGGTAATTACAGAAGGTGAAACAAGAGAGGAAAAGCACCAGTAGCTGAGCAGACTGATACAAAATGCCCAGAGGCAGAAAGACAGAAGAAGGGGAGATAGATACGATCTGAGTAAACATTAAAATGATGATTATCAAAACTAAAGTCATTTACTGGATTGAAGATACGGAGATTCCATAAATGATGCTTATCTGCTGTCCTGAAGGTACTTTGTTCCTAAACCAAAGAACCTTGGTTGTGATATTGAAATGCTAATGGTCAAACTGTATGATGCATTCCAACAGCCTGAATATATTGCAGAGATACTCACAGAAAGAGGTTATACAAATACACTCAACCCTTACAGTCAATAAAGATAAAGTATAACACAGAGTAGGAGGAAGGGAGTAAGACGGGCAGGAAAGCAAGCATGAGAAGGAACTGGAAATTTTGACAGGTTTAATCAGAGGAAAGAGACACAGTTGGAAGGAAGTGAAGAGTCAAAGAGACGGAAAGCTTGCTTAGCTATGTCATGCATATATAGAGTGTTAGCTAGAGAGGGAGAGTAAGAGAGAAAGCATTTAGCCATGTCAAAGAAGGATTGTGTTCAGGCTGCTCATATCCATAAACATGAGAAACTGCATCCTAGAGCGCTTTCTCCTTTTATCTCTTTTGGCCCAAATCTGTTTCCCCCTCTCCCCCAGCCTCTGTCTCTTTGTCCTCCTGTTTTGTCAGTCTCTGTCTTTTCTTCCTTTATCACTGAGTTTAACAGAGTTTTAGAGCTGATGGATTTTTTAAAGCTCAGTAGGGCTTGTTATGTACTAGAGGTCTACGGATTTATCAGTTTGATCTGTTTATTGGTTTAGCCGATTAGTCAGCACCAATAGGACGATTTACAAACTATCGTTTTTTTATCGTCCATGGAAGTTGGCTACAATAGTGACTATGGTTGCCCGGCCTGGCCTCCATCAGTCACATGGGATGCACATCACCAACTGTAGCTGAAGAGGGGTGGGTTGTGTTTTGAGTATTTTGCTAATACAAAATAACTCCACTCCAAAGTATCTTGTTTCAGTTAACATTATTTTTTTTCAGCCCTGTCAAATATCAATTACAAAATACTCAAAAATTATTGAATACATTTTTTAAATACAAGTAACAGAAATACTGCCATATCTGATCATTGTTTTGTATGGAGGCTCTATGTGCAAAGTTTAGGTACTTTTATAATGTACCTGGGAATCTCAGGTTGATTTAAAGAAAAATGAATAGCTCATAAAATAAAAATCACATCCACCTTTATACGGTTGCTGTGATGTTCAGTTGCAGATATATTTATTGAAGTAGTTATTACTTTGAGTTTGACATTCAGTGATCCAGATTTATCTATTTATTTAGATATTTATTACTTTGATTTAGATGTTCAGTTCAACAGCGATCCTAATACGCGTTCCTAATAAAGTCAAAGTTTATTCAGCAACACTGTCAGTTTTGTTTTGTTTTGTTTTTTTTGTCCTGGTGACATCATGATTAATTGGCAGTCGTCTTGATCCTGTTTCAAACTATCATTATTATACCAGCCTTTAAAATTCCACTATCAGTCGATCTCCATTATGCACTGTTTGTGTGTATTTACATGTTTCTTAACCTGTTATGTTCAGACCAATGGGCATTATGGTGCATCCAACTAGAGAGACTCTATCACCAGAGAGCACTGGACAACCTGAATGCACTACAGGAACAGTGGGGTAACACAGGCACACACAGCACACCTGCGTCAGACACATGTATACACAGACATAGTGTGTATTTTTGTCTATGTAACAAAATACTTCTTGTTATATTTGTAATATTAATTCCTTATGATTAAATGTATATATGTTTGAATCTTGTTTTGGGGCGTCCCCTTAGACGTTATAGGAGTGTTACATCAAGGAATCAGTGATAATCACATTCAAAGCATAAACCATACAAAACAAACTGATTAGTATAGTAAAATAAGTTTTGTACTGTTTAACAGCTGCAGTTTTAATTGAGGCTTTACATGTTAGTGAATATCATCATTGACATTGTATGTGCCCACATGCACAGCTATCAAGCATACAATTACTCTAGAGTATGACTGCAGCCTCTGTGTCTCATCCATCGGATTCCAATAATATATATTTAATGTAGCTTCAGTGATCATATAATTTAAATTCCATTAGGAAACATTCAGATTTATAGACCTAGACTGAACCCATATTTGTATTACCTACAGGGGAGTTCAGTTCTTAGAGGCTGCCTTGTAGTTGTAACATTTTATCATAGCTTTTATCTCATTGTATCTCTGTGTCTTTCCATCTTAAAGAAAGTCAGTGTAGAAGTTCTTCCTCCAACCTGGCAACCCATCATCTGGACACTCTTAAAAACATCTGCCAGACTCACAGTCGGTAAGTCTACGTGCAAGTGTGTGTGTGTCTGTGTTAGGGCTGGACGATTATGGCAAAAATAATAATCACGATTATTTTGGTTGATATTGAAATCACGATTACTAAACACGATTATAAGTTGGTCGTGTTGCCTACTTGCCTTGGGGGGCAGACACGACAGCATGACAAACTTTGCAAACAATTTCCTTTTGCTCGACGTCTGTCAACTTGAAGCCAAAATGTTTCCAGATGACTGAAGTTGTCCTACCTTTCTTCTCAACCAAAGGCTGCCTTTCTGCCATGTTCTCAATCGCTCGCTCCACATATTATTGATCCACACACGTGACACGCTTGCTGCTGCTGTACAGGTGCATTCACAGTGCTTTTCCAGCACAGGAACTTACATACACGCCACGCCGTGCGACGCATTAATCGTTTTTCTTCGATTATAATGTTTTTATGATCGTGAGAAGCCAAAATCGAAATCATGATTAAAATTCGATTAATCGTCCAGCCCTAGTCTGTGTGTGTGTGTCTGTGTGTGTAGTCTTTGTTCTTTCTATTATTTTTATTTATTGTCACTTAAACCACTAGATTAGCATATTTATACTGCTTTTGTAGTCTCAAGAATGCTCTCAGCATCACATGAGGAGCTTGAAATATTTGCTTAATATTATTCTGTTAAGAAATAGTTTTTAAAGCACAAATCTATCAAACATCTTGGTAAGTATGTCTTTTTATTGTCTTAAAAGAGAGGAAATAACTCTCCAGCAGTGGTAGTCTGTAAATGTCATTAAAAAGGGAAACAGGATGACCGACAGGACGGATTGAAGACACTAGTTACCCAGTTAGTACATTAACAACACAGCCCGATGTTGAAAGAACAAAGGATATTTATTCACAAACACTTACAAACCATGTCTGCTAAAGAGCTCAAAACAATTTTACTTCATATAACAAGTTTGGTTCAATCTCACGCCCTCTTGACTTCAGTCGTTTGTTTGCTTTCCTCACTTCTGTTCCTCTTCTCGAGCACTGAGCTAAACTGCCAATCAGAGTAATTATACTCACCGACAAGCTCTGCTGGCACCAACACCGATTTAAAAAAAAAGGGGGGGGGGGGGATAAGGGCCAAATAGTGCCGACAGTGTGGGACACACCACCAAAACTAGGGCGACAGATGCTCACCGACTGCCCGACATTGACCAGCAGCTGACTGTCAGCTTGGTGTGTCAGGGCCCTAACCTGTAACCCCCTATGACTCTGCCCCTTTGTGACTAAGATAAAAGAGATAATTGTAAATAAGATAATTTTGGAATAAGTTACTCACTGTAAAATGAGAAAGGGATGAACAGAGATCAGATGGATAGTGATGTTTCTTTTTCTATACAGTATAGTAAGGTTACCCACAACAGTGTGCGTTGACATATTCACATGTTGCTGCACTTTTCCAAAGATGTTGATTTCACAACACAATAATCAGTTGACTGCAAATTTGCATATTAATAACCTCTATTGAGCCTCTGTAATAAGGAGTTTGTGTGTGTGCGTGCATTTGTTGTTTGTTGAGGAGTGTGTGATGTGTTTTTGTTGTGGGATGTGCTCATGCACGTGTAACAAATTAGTCAAGTGAGGCCCACCTTGGCATTTGTTAATATTTAATAGGAAGTCTAAAGTGTATTATACCTGCCAGACACACACCCTGTCACACCATACACACCTGCACACTCTGTATTCTCCCACCCAGACAGGTGCAGTGTGTGTGCGCCTGTGTCTGTGTCTGTCTGTTCGTCTGCATGCTTATGAGCATGTATATCTTTCTGTGGTGAGCACTGCAGTGATACTTTAAACACATGGCCCTTTGCTGCTGCTGCTGCTGCTGCTGCTGCTGCTGCACTTTCAGACATTTGAGCCATCACACTCCTAGGGTTTCAGTTCTCTTAACTCATGGCCACACACACACACACACACACACACACACACACACACAGTCTCACTCACACGTTGTAATAGCCAGGGAAATGTGTTCGAGCTAATATTAGATTGGGAGAGTGGAGAGGGGTCACCCATCTTTCACGTCTTCATTTACTAAAACCAAGAACAGACCTTCAAGACTCTCACCATCTCACTCTGTCTCTCTTTCTCTCTTCTGTTCACAGACCAGGAGCTAGAGATGCTGTGGTAAGACACCCATCATTGTTTTGTGTGTCTGTGTGTGTGACAGAGTGAACGTACTGTAAATGCATGTAGGATAAAGGTAGAACAAATATGTATTTTGCATTTCAAGTGACTCACTGATGTCATGTCAACCTGGTACATGTCAAATATCTATTAAGTGCCCATGGTGTACACCTCTGTTGAGTTAGTGTGCATGTACTCATAGGTTAGATTTTAAATAATGTATGACTTTAACATTACTAAACTATGTCATTTATTTATTTGATTTTGTGTGTTTGTGTGTGTGTATAGTGTGCATCTCTGGACCTTGTGAGGCCTACAATTGAAGAAGGTGGTGCACTGCCTTCATGTACCTCAGGTGAGTGAGCGTATTTATGTCATATCCAGTGAACAGTTGCCAAACCCAACGTTTTTGTAAGCCCGCCACCACTGATGCAAGGAGTATAGACATATAGAGTCTGGTACGACGTTGCCTCTTTCTTGCTTACAAGGTTTTTAGACACATATTTTAGGTTACTGTGAAACTCTAATGCAAGATTGTTAGTTATTAACTGGCTGCCATATTGTTTCCCATGTCAAAACGGCTAAGCTCGTATTATGTCGTGTAATTCATATGTGATATGTTATAATTAGGTCAAGATATTCAGAGCCATCGGTTTGTTGCAGAAAGCTCTTACTAAGTCATGTAAATTTGAATCTTCTTCTCCATGACATGTTTTATTAACCAGACATTAGGGCAAAGGTTGGGAGAGTTTCATTTCATACTGCACTGCGTGAATGTGTGAAATGCATGCACTCAGTAGCTTTCTGTTGAGGAGAGGGACAGGACATTGTGATGACTAGTTTTACTTCCCAAAATTATGGCCACTCACACAGAAACACACACACACACACACACACACACACACTCACACAGAGAGAACTGTGAAAATAAGGAATTTGTTACCAGATCAAGAAAACATGTTTAAGTACCTGTTGTTCACTGGTAATGCGGCTCTCCAGTACTCAGTCAAGCATCAGTGCGATCAACAGTCTCACTAAAACAGAATAAATATGTTCTGTCAACACTGTAGGTCTCAATCAGCTTTTACATGCTCCTGTATACTCTGTGATTATCACAGTTAAAAGGTTTACATGACAACTTTGTGCTGCTCAGACTTGTCTTGTGTATTTTGCTGGCTTCTACTATGGACATGCCATACTGTCTAAATATGTTTTGTTTGTTTTTTGTCACATTTAACATTTGTGGACTCCCTGCTATGGTTTACTGTTTGCCATGGCATATTTAGGAAGTCATATATGGTAGCTTTTTATAAACAGGAGTGATTGGTGCATTTGGTTTACTTGGTAGTTCACATTTTAAGAAAATCTAATGCTGCTGCATACACAAGTTAAAGGCAGTTAAGTTAAGTTAAAGGCAGTGGATACATAGAAAATCTGATGCAAGCAGCTCCTGTTGCATTGTACACTGTAAGTATAACTGTTTAAAAATTTATTTCAAGAGAACTATGTCTGTCTGTTGAGCACCTTGAGTCTGCATTTGAGAGCAGTCCTCTTGCATTTAGTGCACTGTCACTGCAAAGCATTAATTGTGGTTCTAGTCACATGAATTAGGACTACATGGACTAATGGCTTCATTTTTAATAGAGCTGTTTTTATTCACCAACTCTCTTTATTTTGTGCTTAAAACCTTTCTATATCCCCCTTACTATCTACCCCACCAACACCACTCTCCTCCTCGACTCTCTGTTTCCCTTTTTCATCCAGCCCATCAGGTTGACGGAGGGATGGAGCAGAGAGCCCAAGACTCCTCCCGTTCTCAGAGCAGCCATCCAGTCATACCCTCCATTAATTTGACTGATAGACTCAGTTCCCCTGAGGTCTCAGAAAAGGAGAGGGAAGACCCAGACAGGGAAGCAGAAGGGAAGGGCTGTTTCCATGGAGATCAGCTGACTGACAAACAAGGCAGCGACAGAGAGGGTGGGGAGGCAGAAGAAGGGGTAGGATACACTATATCAGTGATAGGAAATGGACTGCACCCCTCTACAGCTGGAGAAATGGATCAGTCCAAGCCCGCAGAGCAGCAGGGAGGAGATTTAGGTCCCGCACAGGAAAAGGAGGCAAAAAGGGACGAAGAGGAGAGGGAGGTGGAGGAGGCAGCTGAAGCTTTGGAGATGGAAGATGAGGGAGAGGAAGAAGACGAAGAGAAGCAGAAGGAAAGAGAGTCTCCTTTTTGTCAGAAAGGCCTTCCAGTGGAGACTCTGGTCAGTGGGGCAGAGGTGGAGGCACAACAGCTGCACAAGGAAGCCCAAGCTGAGGAGAAGCTACATGAGGAGACCCAGGTACATATTAGAATCTGTAAATCAAAGTAAATATAGAGAAATACAATCAATATTTTAATGTCTGTTGTTTATGTAATCTGTAAGTTTCTAGTTTGTTTGTTTTGGCAGTAATCTTGCACTCCACTTTCTAGAAATTACTTGTCAGTTAAACAGTGGCACCAGGACTGATATCATTTGTTTTCTCCTGTTGATGAGGTTTGCTTTGCTCCAGGTTTTTGAAGTTGTGATTGCGATTGTAGCTCATAGTAACATTCAGCTCCTCTAGTTTTTTAACAAACCATTGTTGCTATTGCTGAAAATATATTGCACTTCCTGTATTTCAGGTTACTATTTCACGGGAACAACCTACCCATTACTTAACAGCTTTCACCAACAGCCATAGGTTTTAACAGCTTTGTGTTATATCAGTCCAGAGAGTAGAGCAAACAAAAGGTTTACCGTCACCGTAACTGTATATTGATATGTCAGTCATAAGTGCATTTCATTACCACTGCAGGAGAGTGCTAAAACCTGCCTGCACCAGGAGGCTGGCCTTCCTCAAGAGGCTCACATGAAGCAGCAGGAGCAGGGAGAGGAGGGGAAGGAGGAGGAAGAAGAGGAGGAGGAGGAGGAATATGAAGTGGAGCAAGTTGACATCATCGGAGAAGCTGCCTCACTGGACGACATGGCTAAACTCATCACTGTAGAGGAGGTGTGTATCATGCTTTGCTGGGAATGAGTGAAACAGAATAGGCCTGCCAGACTTTTCATGTGTTTAAGTCACATGACAGTGATTTAATTTGTTTTTATTATGTATGGACATCTGTTGATGCATTTACAAGAATGCTGGTGTGCCTGAATGAAGCGCTGGTATCATTTGTTTTCCTCTCAGCTGAAGAGTCTGAAGTAATAACTGTTGAACCCGATAAAAACACACTGCTAGAGTCACAAACATACTTTGAAAATGTTAACTTCAAATTTGTTATTTAATTTGACCGTTTTTAATTACATTGCTGATTTTCAATCAGCTTGGTATCATTGGGGATAACATTGGGGATAGTATGTGTAAATGAACTGCAGTAAACTTCCCTCCATCTTACCGGCGCCCAAATCTCCCTGCTCATCTCCCATCTCAAATCTGCATGATGATGTGAAACGTATCATCCAATGAATCTGAACTGGCTCAAGCACAGTTGCTCAACACATTCTGCTTCCTCATTTTTGTACGCTGGCCACCATGGACACAAAGAGTAAGGAGGCTCAGTCTCTCAAACTCAGACCAAACTGTACAATTAGGCAGAGCTAATCAAATATGAACAATGATTCTGTTACTGTATTGCCTATTTCTTGCCCAAAATATTTTCAGAAACATATTTTAGTGTACTGTCTGGCTGTAATGCATTGTCATTTGTTACCAGGCAGACAGCATATTGTTTCCTGTGTCAAAACGGCTGAGCTGCTTTATGTCACCCATCAACCGGAACGTTTATTGGTCCAGTCTGATGCTGTACATTCTGGTAGTTGTAGGGTTTCTACCTCTTGAGCATTGACCACAGCCCTTTCCCTCTGTTTTCTCTGGTCATGTCACACCAGTTTCAAAATTATTTGTGTCATTTCTACAGCAGAGACAGCCCAGTTTTATGAAAAGACCATCTCCCCAGCAGTGAAATACTTCTCTAAGGTTTCTGTGTGTCTCAGTCTGCCTATGGAGGCCCATTAAAATAGGCTGCACAGTGCCCTGTTGAGCAGCCCTACTGGTATTATGCAGCCATTACCGTGATACCTCCGAATATGGATTCGTTTCACGGATATGGAAGCCAATTTGACATTTATCTCTTCTATGCTAAAAGAATTAGACTTTGAGAGAAAAGTAGGTAAACTAAAAATGTCATGCAGTGTGTCATGCACCTGGGATTTCAGCATCTAGCAGGATTACTGTGTTGTTATTCTGATCTTATTATTTCAGAATGGTTTGGCTACCTCAATTTGTCCAACATTGATTGTGTCATGAGTTGGCTTTAAGCTGCTACTGACTCATTTTCATAGTTCAGTCTCTGTAAAAGACACAAACAGGGAGAGACATAAATGAAGGAGAGGTAGCTGCAGGGAGATGCTTAGTACATGGAACAGAGACAGAAAGAACCAAGGCACAATGGGATCCACAGAAGTGTCCTGCTTTTTCAAATACAGGATGTAAAGCAGCCAGGGGAAGATTTGCACTGCTGGAGAGATGGTCTTTTCATAAAACTGGGCTGTCTATGCAGTAGAAAGACAGAAATACTTTTGAAATTAGTGCTATGTGATCAGAGAAAACAGAGGAAAAATGGCTGTGGCATTTGCTTTTTCTCAAGAGGTCGAAAACCTGTAACTACCAGAATGCACTGCAATGCACTGGACCAATAAATGCTCTGGTGGTGGGTGATGTAATGAGAGCTTTCCTGTTTTTCAGCAAAATACAATATGGCTGCTGGTTGGTAACAAGCAATCTCAAATCACAGCTAATCACGGTTAGCTTAAATATGTTTCTGAAAACATTTTAGAGAGATGGTCGACATAGTAACAGAATCTTGGATCATATTTTATTAACACTGCTTAGTTTTACCATCTGATCTCAGTGTTGTCTGAGTTTGAGAGAGAGAGAAAGAGAAAGAGTGGGACAGGTCCCTTTCTTGATATGCCTCTGTACTCTTTGTGCCCGTGGTGGTGAGCGTATGAAAATGTAAAAGTACAGTTTGTTGTTTAGCAACAGCCCTGGAGCTCTAAATGATGGGTTTCACTTCATCCAACAGATTTGAACTGAGAAATGAGCAGGGAGATCTGAGCACTGGTAAAATGGAGGGACGTTTACCACAGTTTGAGGAAACTAACTATAAGCTGTGTCTGAATGATTATTACACTAAGTCTTAATCAGGGCTTGATATCAGTACTCGATACCTTTTAAGGTATTGACCAATATAACCCAGTACCAAGTAGTATAAAAACTTCTCCAGTCAGACAGTACCCACTAGTACACACACTATTGGTATGGCTTTGCTCGCAGTCTGTGGTGTGGTGATGTCGAGCGCAGTGTTTTGATGCCACCAAAACATTCCGAAGTATGGTTGTACCACATGCCTGTGGCATCTGGTGGCATTTTACACAACGGAGTGCTTTCATTCCCATGATGGATATCAAATGAAGTAGAAAAAAAAGGTCTCAAATGAAGCACTCTATTGGTATCACTGAAAGGGTACAGGTATTGGTACTGGTAACAGAATTTTTTAAATGATACCCAGCCCTAGTCTTTATAGGTGTGCTTTGCTTTTTTAAAAAAATTATACCAGTTTTCTTGCCCACTTGCCCAAATTTTTAAAGAATCAGACTAATAGCACAAAGAAATTCGCACATTTTATCTACTACCCAATTAGACGTTCTTAAATGACAAGTGGAAGTTAGTACTAAAAAGTCAGTCAGTTGTTTACTTTCACATTGGTTATTCAGTTCAACCTTGTGAGCAGTTTCATTCATGGGAATAAAGGAATCCCCTCACTACGTACATTATGACTACATGATCCAATGCCAAGCAGAAGTATTGCATAGTATGACAAGTACTCTGCCTGGCCTTGATAATTTATCACCACTTGACCAAAGTCCATCTGCAGTCGTTGCAGGCATTGAGCCTGGGACAATCGTTGGAGGTCTAATGTGCATAAGTTATCTTATAGGGAAGCAGTGTCTGGTACTGGATGACTGACTGTAAATGACCGTAGATGTGTAAGATGGAGTGTGATAGTATGATTTGAAGCTCAATACTGCTGATTGTGTGACGTACTGACACCTGGTGGACATGGCTGGTGAAGTGCATCCTCACCCTCATGTTCCTCATCAGTCACTATGTCATCAGTGTTTGTGTATGAACATGAACAGATCAAACTGTGGTTTAGTATAAAAATAAATTATGTTCTGTTGATTTACTGTGTGTGTCTGTGCCTCGTGACATGTCTTTGTCTTGTTTGTCAGATTTCTCCTGCCTCTGGCCTGGTCTCCATACTGAAGAAGCGGCAAGTTTTTGTGGACAACATGAGCGGGTCCGCCAGCTCAGAGCCTCAATCTGACAAAGTCCTGGCCAAAAGACGCGTTCGCTTCAAGGTCCCTGATGACAGCTACGAGCATGGTGTGTTTCTGTGTTTATTTCTTTGCTATAAGTTAGTAACATTGTCAGGCTTAAATTTTAAAGGATAGTTTGTTGTTTTTTTAAGTGGGGCTGTAAGAGATACCTATCAATAGTAAGTGTATTACATACAGTAGATGGTGGTTGGTGCAGCTTTACCTGGCCGTCAGACAGCTCTTTATTTTGGTGCAACATTCTCTCAACCATTTAACGTTCATATTTTTACACAAAAGTGTCCACCTGGGCCATGCACTGTATTACGCTGTAGGTCAGCTGTTTGGGTCAGAAAATGCTGTTGTGCAGTCCGACTGAAACAAAACTTCACTTTACCAGAGATTTGCTACTTCTGTTGTCCACTGCTCTGTAACATCCCTCCAACTATATCTTTCCCTGTGTCTCACTTTCTCTGTAGATGTTGGCGGTGGAGACTCCTGTCTGCTTCTCTTCCTGCTATGTCTGGTTACCATAGTGATCAGTGTGGGTGGCACCGCCCTTTACTGTGCTCTGGGCGATGCCCACTCCTCAGTCTGTCAGGACTTCTCCAGGAATGCAGACTTCTACATTGGCCAGATACAGCGTGGGATATCTCACATCCAACACTGGTTTGCCCCCGGGTCATAGCAGACGACAGCCAATGACCTCACTGTATATCAGTCAAGGCTCCAGCGCTCCCTGCTACTTCCTGGGACAATGTCTTCTGAGGTAATGGTGCTGGGCAGCTGCTACAGTCCCTACCGCTATATGGAGTAAGTGGCTATTATGCTGCCTCAATGATTATATCAGATACGGTTGGCATTTGTAAGCCTGCTCTACTGCATTTTTAATGCTCTGTGAATACAATCCCAGGGTTCATTGAGCCTCAACGTCAAAGGTCAGGTGTCCCTTTGCAACAGTAGTTTGAAAGGGAAAGTAGAGCAGAGAGAAAAAGAGGATAACTGTAGAACGGAGACCGTTTAACAGAAGAGGAAGAACTGACCTACACTCCTCTCAACCATGCCCACATTAAAGGGGTTATAAAACTAAGTAATAACAGCTACGATCCACAGAGATGTAGAAAATGATGTATAATGTATAGTTTTTGGACTGGGATGCTCTATACACACACACACACACACACACACACACACACACACACACACACACACACTGCACAAATGGGAAGCGGCACAATGGGCATTTAAAAACTGCTGCAACCACTAGTGTTGCTTTTATCGTTGACTTTTTTAAACCACAAATGAAATTTTAAAATGAACGTACCATTCTGTGGTCTACTACTTGGAATGAAATCATTATGTCTTAATCATGTCTGATCATGAATGAATGTTTGGAGTTTAATGTTGAACTTTGCTTTGTGTTGCCTTTGGAGCATTTATGTAACAAAAAAAAAGATCTAAAGGGTTATTGTGGTATTTATCACAATCCAGCTGCTAATGGACAACAGACACATGGGGGGAAATTACACAGTGTCATTTCATATAACAGCTGTGATGTTAAATTCTGCATTCATTTGCAGTGAGCAGTTGCTGAAGAACTCTGTATCAGCTCTACTCTCCATGTTTGACATGAGCATCCTGTTGCTGCCCTTTTCTGTACAACTTTTTGCAGTTAGCTGTAATGGCTGCCACTGGAGACTTAAAAGTCCAAACTATCTGTTTATGGGTTTCTATGACAGATTTAGCTTTGTGTAGCATGTGCAACATGTACAGGAACACAATGCACCTCTGTATATACTGTCAGAAGAATGTTCAACATGTTGCACATAAGACTGGTACGATTTGTTTTTTTGTTGTTGTTTTTTTTACAATTTTGCAATATTTCTACAGGAATTGTTGTGTTGGTCCTGGACTAAACACATTTGATCAGAAACAACAAATATCCATATCCAGAAACTGTTTTCAGGTTCAGTGTGAAAAGTTTATGCCAGTGAACATCAGTTATGCACATATAACTTGAACAGAAAATACTCAACTGGCTCGGCATGTAATATTTCATTTAAAAAAATCATAAATGAGAATTGTACGATTAATGTAGGAAAGAAAAAATATTCAGTGTACTCTTCATGAGTACAGGCCTTGATGTTGGTGGGATCATTAGAAGCTGTCTGTGTGTTCGCTGTTCTGTGGGACTCTGGGCATCATCCTCAGTTTGTGATTGTCAGCGTTTCCTTTTTTCCCCCAAAATGATTATTTGCATCTCTAAACTGTGTTTACGTCTGCTGAGTCCTGGTTTTATAGAGACAGAGGAACCTTTCTCTGGGCGAAGAACTGATTTCCTCATGAGACAGGGAGGAGACTGTTCTGAAAGAAGGCATACACTTTGTCCATGAAACCAGTTCTTTATTCTCACACCAGTGCTTTAACTCTTATGTCTAATCGTTTTAAAGCAAACTTTGGTTAATTTTACTGCTTGGTCTCACTTTTTGTCTAGTTCAGCATATTACAATGTTTAATGTCTCGTTAATTTTCTTTTCTTTCATGCGGTGTAACAGTGGATGCCATGAAAACTGCCCTAGCAAAACCACGCATCTGACAAAGGTCTTAATAATTAGGATGTAGTGAAAAAAATCTCCATCAAACAGGAGAGATCCAAGTGTCTTACTTATGCATTTATAACAGTTTTAGATTAAATCTTCCTCTCATGGTGTGTTACTCACAAAAACCTGAAAATTAGTTTGAGATATGAGGTTTTCCTGAGATGTAGGGAGTAGTAGATTGATTCTTGTTTTTATTTGCACATGTCGTCTGGCTGGTTCAGATGACCTTCACTCAGAAAACCTCTTATTTAATCTTCTGGATGATTTTAATTATTTATAATACAAGGGATGTCAAGTGTAGCTGGTTAAGATTAATTATTGCCATCATACATCATGTCAGTTTTTCATCTCTAATATCACTATTGTTCTTAAGGAGGCTTTGACAGAGAGTTTAATTTCTAATTTTATGACCTTAGTCCTCTAAATACCATCATCTGGGTTGTTTATTTTTATTGATTTTCCCTTATCAGTTTCTGAATATGATTTGAAACTGGTGAGTTTGTGCTACTGCGGTCGTTACTAAAAGATTCATGTTTCTTTCATCTGTAAGCGTCGAACATATTTTCATTTATTTGACCCAGTTGGTTTTAAAAAGGACATTCAGAAATGAATGAATGAAAAGTCATGTTTTGTGTGTATGAATCAGTACTGTGTACACTGTTATTAGCCTGAAGAAGGGCATTTTATGAATTGTTTGATGAACTCTTTCACGTTGTTCTAACAAATTGTAATAAGGAGATGAGGTTTTTATTTTTTGCTGTTAAAAAAACCCCACCCTGTTATGTCTCTCGTTAAAGCCTTTGAAAAAAATCTGTTTGTGAGCCTCCATTCTGTCTTTTCTGAAACAATACTGGCCGCTGTTTTTGATTATACAGTTACAAGGTAACAAAAAATGTACTGGTGCAAGATGAGTTAAAGACGTGTCTGTAAGTCACACTGTGGATGTGACTCTCAGTAATAGTAGCAGTACATTTAGTTGGGATGATGTAATTTAGCAGTAAAGACTCAGGTCTTACAAACAGTAGCCTAGTTGATTTGTGGTGACCACTCTCCAAGTTTCAAATTTGATCATCAGAGAAGAATCCCCTTCTTTGTACAGCCAATCACTCATCCACAGACCACAGAAACGTTGAGGATATAATTAATAGACTCAGACATTGAAGGGACAAACTTTAATATCGCCATTTTTAAAAATTCCTACAGTACATTACCATCTATCTGTATTGTACAAAAAGTCTTCTCTGACACAGGATGCATGTTTAAATTTTGTATTTGAATACGTCGTGAGTCTGAGCTATAATACATTTAGATTTGACACATTTATCACTTGACCTGTAAGCGACCCTTCTCATTTAGACTAACACAATAACCTGTTGCACCACGTCTGTCTGTGACATCTGTTGCCTGATCTGCATCACTGTAAGGTTGTAGCCCCAGTTTCTCATTGTCATGTTTCCTGCAACACAATGCTTCCTAAGTTGTACTTTTCAGATATCTTAGTACATGTTTTACAGTAGTCCATTACTCTTCTGTTGGTTTAGGAAAGTACTGTGACATTTTAGTTCCTGCAAAACTCAGTTCAGGTCTTGCACATGTAGTCAGATAGATTAGACCACCCACTGCCTCTCATCATCGCTATATCATCTGTGTAGTTCAACTTTTGTACAAAAGGTGTCGCTCTAGGTTTTACAATTTTGCATGTCATACCTTTCAAATATTTTCTCCACAAATGTCCTCTGTGACATTTTCACACAATCATACTGGTGAAAATCAAAAACTCATACTCCCCTGCCTGCTCTATTGCCTTGAAGCACTTCTAATGGCCTTGCTGCACGAAAACAACTTATAAAAGCCGAGGAGTCTCTAACGCAGCTGTCCATCATGCCAATCACTGCTCCTTACATAAGGGTCAAACTGTCAAACAAGGCAGCACTTATCAAATATGAAACAAGACTTCTGTTACTGCATTGTCTGTTTGCAAGTGTTTTCAGAAACATATTTTAGTGTACTGTTTAGCTTGAAATGAGAAAGTATGTCCGGCTGGTGGGCGGTGTTTGGTATTTTGGTCGACTCTATCCAACCTGGCAGCTAAATAAAACAATGAAAAGGAAATGAATGGAATTAAAAGGGTAATATCCTGTAAATACCAGAGAAACCTGAGGATGCAGGTGCACTAAAACAACAATAAAAGACCAGATTCTGTGTTTTGTACCTTACAAAAGAAAAACAAACATGATACAAAGTGTGAAGTAGCTGTAACGGATGCTGAGGGGTCCTGATGCCTGGTATAAAAACATAACAGTCAAGGCAGAGGTGAAGAACTCCACAACACAAAGCTCAGTGGCATTTCATCCTGAATTCACTGTTTTAATCCACTTTGTAATCATATGTATTGTTGCTATGGTGACCTGCAGTATGTTTTACCTGGACCAAACCATTGACCAAGCTGTTGTTTAAGTTACACATCTGCCAACCAAAAAGAATCAACAATGTAGTCCAGTAATCTTTGTTCTCAATTAATTTTCTGGCCACAAAGTTTATAATACATGCTGCATGACCCAAGATTGAAATCCACTTATTTTAATTTATTAAATCAATTTATACACACACTACACCGTGACCTCCTGCTTGGTTTGCAGTCGAGTATGAAGCAGTCGGGATGAGAGTCGGCACCTCCAAGTCTGAGGCTGTGGTTCTCTGCTGGAAACCGTCGGATTGCCCTCTCCAGGTTTGGAGTAAGTTACTGCCCCAAGCGAAGGAGTTCAAGTATCTCAGGGTCTTGTTCAAGAGTGAGGGTAGAATGGAGCATGAGATGGATCAGCGGTCTGGCATGGCTTCTGCAGTGATGTGGGTGCTGTGCCAGACCATCGTGGTGAAGAGGGAGCTGAGCCAGAAGGCAAAGCTTTCGATTTACTGGTCCACCTCTCACCTATGGTCATGAGCTCTGGGTAAGGACCAAAAGAATGAGATTGTGGATACAAAAGGCTGAAATGAGTTTCCTCCGTAAGGTGGCTGGGCTCAGCCTTAGAGATAGGGTAAGGAGCTTGGACATTCGGAGAGAGCTTGGAGTAGAGCCGCTGCTCCTTCGCATTGAAAGGGGTCAGTTGAGGTGGTTTGGGCATCTGATCAGGATGCCTCCTGGGCACCTCCCGGGCACGTGCAACTGGTAGGAGACCCTGGGTAGACCCAGAACACACTGGAGGGATAATATAACTCGTCTGGCCTTGGAACGACTCGGATCTGCCAGGAGGAGCTGAAAAGCATGCTGGGAAGTGGGACATCTGGGATGCTTTGTTCAGCCTGCTGCCCCGGCTATCCAGCTTCGGATAGGCGGTTGAAGATGGATGGATGGATGGATGGATGGATGGATGGATGGATGGATGGATGGATGGATTAATACCTTTGAGTAGACAAAATAAAAAATAGACAACCCATACCAGCTCACCTATTTTTATTTACTTTTACATTTTTATTAAGTGTTTATTAAATATAGTACAGATATCATTGACTAGACATCACTGTCCACCATTAGGCCGCACTTCTTTATAGTTCTTGATCAACTGGGAGAGCCTGACGACTTGAATGTCATCTGGTTCCTCATCGTAGTCTGACCACAGGTACTCTGGAGACAGCACCTTGGTTGGTTTGTTGTACAACAGGTACCTGCATGACAGAGAGACAGGCAGATGAGCTCAGTATATTCTGCATCTATGTGTCAGGGTGCACCCTGAGATGAGATGTAAAATGTCCTCTTAGAGAAGATAAGACACTTAGTACAGTCTAATCAATGGAAGTATTTTAAGAAAAGTTTAAGGAATGCAACAAAGAACGAGGATTCTTTTCAGACCTGAAAATAATAACAGTAGGAAAACCAGTGAAAATAAGGGAACTTTGACACTGTACTTGTTGAGGTGACTCTCTTCTTGCCACACAGCTTCAATCTTATTCTTTTCATCCTCCAGCGACTGCATGTAACAGTGTCTGACAAAATAAAAGAGGATAAACTTGGAGACACTGTTGCTTTAGCTACATTTTGTTTTTAAAATAATATGGTTAAAAAAATAGTAAATTAGCTGTGGAATTAATCTCAACAACCTACAAGAGGCTTGCATAATGGTCACATAGGTGGCAATCCATCAGAAAGACACATAAATTGAAAACGGATTATTATTCTAAAGCTTTGGAGCAGCCACCACAAAGGCACTGTCATGATCCTGGGTTTTTGTTTATATTCTGTTATCCTATGGACTTTGTTTCGGAGTTTTCTGTTTGCGTTCTTGTTTCATGTTCTTTTATTCATGTTTAACTCTTATAGAGTCTCACCTCATCGTGTTTAGTTTTACTTCCTGTTTTTGTGTATTTTCCTGCCTGTTTTCTCTCACACCTGTCTCACTAGTCCTTCCCTGTTTCCAGAGTCTTTCCTTCACACCTGTTCTGTATTAATCTTGTGTGCTCCACCCTAGTGTCCCCCTCCACACCCTTGTTGTTAGCCAATCCCCATTTTCCTCTTTGTGCCCTGTCCTCGTACTCCAGCTGTGTCTCATTCTTGTGATTTGTTTTCTGTGTATATATACCTGTGTTTCCTTTTGCTCCTTGTCAGTTCGTCTGCGGTCATCCCTGTGCTCATCTTGTCCTGTTCTTGGTGTCATTCCCTGCTCTGTTTCCTGCCTGGTGTCTTGTTCAGTTTGGATTTTTTTTACCTGAGTTTGTCGTATTATCCTAGTTGGTTTTCAATTTAGTTTTGGTTCTGCTTTACCTGCTTGTTCTATATGTTTTTTATCAACTGCAATAAAGCTCGCTCTTCGTTGAAACTTAAACCTGTCTGCTGCTCTACATTTGGGTCCTTTCTGAACTACTGTATCGCCTTTACCCACAAGCCTTGATCATGGGACAGTTAAAAGACACAGATGTCCAGTGTATTGTCAGCTCTCACTCTGTCCATTCAGCTACTATCTCTGTACGCTCTATGATGTGTATTAATCAGAAACAGCACTGAAATAACTCAAGAGATAATAAGGTTGTGGTTACTTGACTAGCTTGTACATGTCCTCCAGGTATCCACCCAACATAGCCGCAGTGTAATAGTAGTCTCCTTCATCATAAGGGATGAAGGCCTTGGACGTGGGCCGACGCTCATATGGAAACTGATCTCTTTTTGTATCCTGAGAAAACAGATTATTGACAATGATTGGAAGCTACAGCTGATACTAGTGCGGGCAGTTAATGCTGTGGCTGACCAGAAAATGAGACAAAAAAAAAAACCTGCATAACACATAGTAGGCCTATAATAGGTGACTCAGTGACAAACAAAAAAAGCATCCCATTGAATTCTAGTTAGGTTAAAATAAATAAAGACTTCCATTAAACTGAAATGAATACACTGTAGGAAAAAGAGTAAAACCTTGTAGTAGCCACGATGAAGCACGGCAGTCAGCTGACCGAGAGACTCGGCTCCAAAACGATCGTAAAAGACACTGTCGATGTCCATCATAAAAGCATAGTCTGCTTCATCACGGATCTGAAAATATTACGATTGAGATGTGAGACTGAATGTACCACAAAGAGACTCAGCTGGATGACCAGTAAATAATATTTCAGACATTTGCTCATGAAACCATTTAATGTTATTTTTCTTTGTAAGAGCTACATATGTAGATTTTAAAGTATCAGCTACTGTTATCACGCAAAAGAGCCACTAACATTCCTCTTGTGTATGGCCTAGTTTTTGTGTGTTTTAAGTCTTACCTGTTTCTCAATGGTGATGGTGGCCCATTTCATCCTGCCAAGTACTACATCCTGCCAGCGGCTGG